GTCATTTAAAAATAAATCCCGCAGCTCTGTTGTAAATTGTATTAATGTTGATGTCTGATAGTACCTATATAATGTACATGTTCTTTTTCCAGTATTCGTTTGTGTGAAAGTTGATCAAATATTTTTTTTTTAAAATACATTATTTCATTTTGTTCCTCGGTATTTGAGTTTCAGGCTAGAGAGATTCCTTCATACGAAGAAAAATAAATAAGTAATTTTTCTTGTTTATCAACTGAATGAAATTACCTCTTATCAAAATCAAAGGCATTATTTTAAAAATGAATCACATTATGATAAAATAAAATTATTTCTCAGCCTGCCCAGGTTTGGCTGAAGAATAGTGTTTCCCATAAAATAAGTTGATCTTCTTTAGGCAAAGAAGTAGGTAGTAGAAGTAGGTTCGTCGTAAGCAAACAAGTAGACCGTAAAGATATTTTTAGAATAAAAGTTATGTTAGCATAAGAATACACTGTCAAAATCTGGACTCACCATGTTTAGCTAGACATGATTTATAGAACCGCATGAGAAACTTTATAATTATCTTCAGGGGTATGAATTTTGAAAAAGCTGTTTATCTCGATATATTGAAGAATTGGCTAAAAATATATCATCTTATCATTGGTAGCGACTTGCAAATGATAACAGCACGATTATGTTATCACAAAAGCTTAGTATTGGACAGGTTAAGCCCTTCAACGAGGTCGATAGTTGCACTATCTTTAAACATACTCGTATACTCACATTTTTATGTTATATATGCAAAATTTATTGCGAATATCTTAAATTTTAAAATAATTTCTACAAAATCCTTATAAAACCTGGACGCTTAATCCCACAATGACAAATTTCATGTTTCAATGTCGCAGTTTTGTATCAAATATAAAAAAGATCTAAATTATTAGATGGTGAATATATTACGTATATGATTTTTTATATTCAAGTGAGATACTGTTAAGTTTCTCTTGGGCATTTCTAAGCAGATCTACCCTCCAAGATTGTAGTAGTTTTCTCACGGCGACTTATAATACTTACATTTGATTTAATTAAATATAAAAATTAACAATTCAAAAGTGCTTGCAAAAATCTATTACAATAAAGTATAATTTGATTTCATTTCCAATTTAACATGGATGTTTTGTATAATAAAGGAAATTGTATGTATATTAATTAATGTATATTAAGAAGAATAAAGTGAATGTATATGAAAAACAATGGCAATATCTAAGTTCGCATGTTAAAATCAAACCAACAACCCTTGTTTTGGTAACACGATTTCCACTAACAAAGCTGATGATCAACAAAATATGAACAGGTCAAGCCCACCCGCTTTCAACAAAAAATAAAAAATGAAAATACGCCAAAGGATGTTCTATTAACATAGAATGGTGTTCGGAAATGACCTAAAATGCCTTAAACTCATCCAATAGTGTTTCAAGAACATAACAAAACTGACAAGCTGTTCCGTAACGGACTGTTAATGACGGAGCTTAGAATAAGAGTAAGTTTCTTTTTTTTTTAAAGTATACAACTATACGTACTAATATTATAAAGAAAGAAGCGGAGTTTGTTTGTTTATTTGAACGCACTAATCTCAGGAACTATTAATCCGATTTGAAAATTTCTTTTTGCATTAGATAATCCGTTTATTGAGGAAGGCCATAGGCTATAATATCTTCATGCTACTACCCAAGGGAGCAGAACAGTACTCATAAATGTCAACAAATTGGGCAGACTTTCATACATTATTGTAAAACTATATATAGGTATTATATGTACATACATAGTGACAAACCCGAGCGAAGCGAGTGTGAGTCGCGAGTACTTTAATAAAGTAGAAATACTCTTTGAAAGTTAGGTCTTATTAGGTGGTATATGTTATGAATAGTATTTGTGATATCTACACGATAGAAGCTGCATGAAAACGTTAGTCCAGTATACACATTTATACGAATGTAGTTCTTAGTATTAGTACTTATTAAGATGAGAATGATGCAGAGATCTTACCTCTATTCGTTGAAAGGAAGTAGCATTTTAGATAATTGGGTATTGTCGGTCTGGACGACAGCAAACTGTCTCACAAGGACCTCGAGAATCCTCTCGATTATTTTGAAGTGTACATACTACTGATACATTTAGGGGCACGTTTAAACTTAAATTGAGTTGAAATCGTTACTTTGTTTTTAACTAATTTGAAAATTTATTGAATAACTTGTTCTACAAGCTGCAACCGATTAATATAGATGATTTCTTAAATAAAAAAAATTTGATAACCGAAAAGATAGCTGCTAAGATTTTCCTTTCTAGAAGAAAGATATGAAAATAATAACGTATATTAGCTTTACCTTGTGTATGTATTTCGTATTTTGTGAATCTTATTTGTTTTGTTTGACTCCTTGTGATATTCTTTTCAAATAATAATCCTTTAATTTCGTAGTTATTTGACGACAGACTTTTTATATTATTTTTTCTAAGAGAACACTTATTCTCCTGAATCAGCCTTTTTAAAAAGTCAGAAAAACCTAAATTTAAAAACAATTTAAAGAAAATGCCTGAATTGTATAATTATGAATTATGTAGGTATATGTATAACTTAATTTTTATTTACCATAGCATTAGAAAATTCCTAGACATTTATTTTATTGCATTACATTTTATATTTTCCAATAAGGCAATACAGCGTTTTTTGGCTGTAATCAGCTGTTCTAATGATGAGTGCTGAGTTATTTGGAAATGAACCTTAAATGGTTGTGCATACCATTAAATTTCATATTTTTGTAAATTTTACAGTTTCCACCCAATGATGTGAATCTATAGTCAGAATCTAAGAATATGGGGTAAATCTATTATACCTATCTATACATATAATAAAATTCTGAGTCGAATCTGTATATTAAATATTTTTTGGTAAATTTTATTGAAATAGTTATATTTATCGATATAGAGGCCAAATCTTTAGTTTTTAGAATTTTTGTCTGTTTGTCTGTGACCGCATCACGAGAAAACCAATTGACAGATTTTAAAGATATTTGGTATGGTTATATAGCTGGTTATCCGGATCAACATATAGGATACTTTTTACGATGGGAAAATATATCACCTCAGATAAATCTATACTACTTAATCGTTAAAAACGTATCTAGGTTAAAACGTAGCTAAGTGCACATATAAAAATCTTGTAAATAAAAATATAAGCTTAAATTGGATAGATCATTCTTTGTTATGATTTATGGTTTTAATTTTGGATTTATGGGATTGGGTGTTTTTTGGCTTATCTTTCTTTCACTTAGCGATAAAGTAGCTAATTGGATCTCATTTTTTGATTTCTTTTTTACTTACGCACCACTATTTCCAAACCAAGAATATTGTGTCATAAGTATTATGAAATCAAAATAAATACTTATTGTCAACATTATGTACGACAGCAATATTTGCTAGACGTTCTTTATGAGTAAACATTACGTGGAAAATTAATAAGTGAAAATATTATCGGCTCTTTCATATTCTCATTAGAGCATGTGTAAGGAGGCTTTAGGTTCATTCTAAAATTCAATTCGTAAACAATTGTTTCTTCCGGCTTCATATAAGAAAATAAATTAATCTGCTTTTTGTTTCTATGGGTATGGATTTTCAAAAAAAAATTGGAATACTTATAATATTGAGAATAATAAAAAATAAACTATACCTATAAACAAAATTGAAGTGTCTGTTTGTAGTGTCATAATAAGAGTTTTTTACTAAATGCATTTGAAAGTATAGGTATACGGTACATATAAGAGAAAAAAAACATTTTTTTTTATTTTTGCCTGTCAGTCTGTCTGTTTGATCCGGCTTACCTCCGAAACGGCTAGACTGATTTGAACGGCACTTTCACTGGCAGATAGCTGATGTTATAAGGAGTACCGCTACTTTTATTATAGAAAAAGAATCAGGGTTTCACGCAAAACAATTAAAAACCATGAAATCGTAACTAAAATCCGCGTAAGCCGCTAGTGTTAGACATAAGAATACGCTGTCAAAATCTCGATTCACCAGGTCCAGACATCTTGTCTGAGCCCCAGCTTACATAATTCTTAAAGAGTATCATGGTATCTTAAGAAAATGATAGAATTATATTTTGGAATCAAACTAACAACTCATCATATCTACGAGTATGTATATATATGTATATATGTAATATACTCGTATAGATATGTAATATATAGTCTATCTATTCCACCCGGATAACCGTAAAAACGTACCTAGGGACGAACGCAAGACGCTAGTATTTATATAAATGAAATTTATAAGATTTCTAACGATTTCTAGCTCTAACACCAAAGCTTTCTCCACTAACGTGTTACGATTTATACTTTTCCTGCCGCACCGCTGTTCGCCAACTAGTAAAACTAGTTTTTCTATAAGTATAGGCTCTTGAGCTGGAAGTAATAAAGAGTTATTACTTCGAGCTTCCACTTATGACATAAATAAAAACAACGGAATAGAAATTTATATCCTGTTATCTCTTGTTAAATAAAAAAAAATTAACTTTGTTTTTTAAATAAGGCTTTACTATTTATAACAATAACTTTATTGGTGAAAAATAGATTCAAAATATTTTTGTGTCTAATGGTAAACTCTGTTTAAGTCGAGTCTCTAAAATAGATTAACAATTTAAATATTGTTACTTCGTAAACTGAGGTACATACTTTGTTTGGGTGGATGCCAGTTTTAAAATCTACAATAACTTTTGAGACATCAAAAAGTCATTCCTGTGGCCATGATTGCCGTAAACCATTCGAATCGTGGGAACCAAAAATCAAAATTTTGTGAAATAATCCAAAAAGACAGTTTTATTTAAAAAACCACATTTAAAAATAAATCCGCGAAAAATCCGAAAATATAGTTTTATTTAAAATGGTCAAATATTCGCGTAAATCTAAGAAAGTATTATAAAAATCATATACAGTTTAAGTCTTTAATAATATAATATAAGTTTTCTAATAACTTTGATTTTCTTACAGATAGCAATATGGTGGTGCTTTACTGCATTTCTGCTGTCCCGCATGGGGCTCATAGAGACGAGGATGGAAGAGGTTGATCCAAAATACAAGAGCTTGGAGGTAAAATTAAGACATAATGTATATTTTCAACCGACTTCAAAAAGGAGGAGGTTCTCAATTCGATTGTATTTTTTTATTTTTTTATGTTTGTTACCTCAGAACTTCGTCATTTATTAACCGATTTGGACTATTTTTGTTTTGCTTGAAAAGGTATACTTCCAGATTGGTGCCATTTAAATTTCAAAAAAAAATACCACCCCTAAGGGTGGAAAAATAGCTAATAATGAATTTGACCTACTTCTAATTGTCATATTGACTTGAAAATTTGCAAGTGTTTCAATTTCCGTTGATAGTACAATGGTTCGGTATTGTTGACCTGATCTGATGGTAAGGCCAGAAGGTGGATAGGTGGAACTCTTCAACGACTAATAGTAGATACTTTGAGTTTGGGCTTATTTTGTTTGGTTTGACAAGCCTAACACTTTAGAATTCTTACTTTGCTACTACTGTCTACACTAAAAAGGGAAAAATAAAACCTTTTTAACAAAAAAATAAAAACCGACTTCAAACAAAAGCACTAGAAAGTAAAAAATAACTGATTGGTAGTTTTCATTTACTATACATACCTAATCAAATATTTTCGAAGTCGGTGTGCTTTGCTTTGTATGGGCTGGCACTGATTTTGAAAATATTTGATTAGGTATGTATTTAATAGGTAGGCTTTAATTACTTAGCCAAAGCACACCGACTTCGAAAATATTTGATTAGGTATGTATAGTAAATGAAAACTACCAATCAGTAATTTTTTACTTTTTAGTGCTTTTGTTTGAAGTCGGTTTTTATTTTTTTGTTAAAAAGTTTTTATTTTATTAGATACCTACCCAAAAAATATTGTTTGTCCTAACTTTGTCAATCTCTTCGGTAAAATTTCAATAAATATATAAAAATAGCCCTTAGGACTAGCGTTTTTGTCTGGAGGTTTATAAAATATGATCCCGTACAAGAAACCTTATAACGCAGTTGATAAATAAGTACATAAAAGCCTCTGCACATTTGGGTTGATAATATTTGTGTAATTAATAAACTTACTCTATCACAACTATCTAAGCAATGAGGACATTTTTCATAAACATTTGCCACAAGCGGGGATCGAACCTGTAACGTTGAGAGATAGATCAGTTTTGTAGCCACTGCGATGACACGGTTTTCAGCTTAAACATAATATAAGAATAATAATAATAAAACCTTTTTATTTCCTATAAGCCTTATAAAATATTTACAATATGTACAATTAAAACTAATGTTAGTATGTGAATAATTCTAGTGTTAGTAATAACTTTTAAATATTATTAATGCTTTTTATAGGAACTTTTTTCCCTATCCTGCGCTGCTCCGGTCCAATTTTTCCCCGCAACTGTTAGTATGTTGTCTACCCATCTTTTTTTGGTCTTCCTACTGAAGGTACATCTCGCCACGTGTCCGGCTCAGCGCCATTTTAGTTTTATTGCTTGATGTAGAGCATCTGTGAGTTTTGTCTTTTTTGTTATGTCTTTGCTTTCTACTTTATGAAATTTCCTTAGGCTCAGCATAATTCTTTCCATTACCCGCTGACAAGTTATTATTTTGTTTTTTATCTTGTTTGTAAATGTCCAACTCTAAGAGCCGTAGGTCAAGCAAGGTTCATGACAGTCTTTTACAAGTCTAAGAAAGACGGCTTAAACATAACTTACTTAAATTCGATCAAACGTTTTACTCCGATTATAATAATTCATTTCCAGCTAATTATTTTTTTGTTATCTTAATTATTCACTTGCAAATGATACGTACTTAAATGGAAGACAATGAAGTAAAAGTAGGTTAAAATCGATTTACTTACCAACTTTCGTTTTCATAGTTAATTTTACTACTTCATATGTTATCTATACTTAATATTATAAAGAGGCAGAGTTTGTTTGTTTGTATGTTTGTTTGAACGCGCTACTCTCAGGAACTACTAATCCGATTTAAAAAAATCTTTTTTGCATTAGATAGCCAGTTCATGCTACTTACTGCCCTTGGGCAGTAAGTAGCATGTAATAATGTACATACATAATATGTGTCCTATTCTATAATGGCATAACACTATATGTAGCAAAATTAACTATGTAAGTATATTATCTAGTTAATTTTGTAACATATAGTGTTATGCCATTATAGAAAAGGACACAAACAATAGTATACTGTAAAAAACACAAACTCGTAAAAACGGAGTTACAGTGTTATGCTTCTCAGGTATTATAAACGCATATATACGCGAAATAATAATAAGTGACTAACAAAACACCGGTGTAACTTCTTACTTTTGAGGCAGATAGATCAGTTAATGTTTTACATTTTCGTTTAGAATAAGTAACATGAATAAGTTGGTTAATAGCTAAGTATACTACGGACTTTTAAACCCTTTTTCATCATTTCAGCAAGCTTGCTATCTTTGCTCGAGTGCCCTAGGCAAAGCTTTTGACCCCAAGTTTGAGTGGCATGTGACGATGGTTTTGAAAGAGAAATTTAAATAGCTTTTTTAATTATATTTTTGTATATAAACTCTTATAAGTGAAGCTTGCTGCATATGTATATACTATATAATATGTATATATTAGCAATTAAAATTTTTAATTATTAGATAAATTGATTGATAAATAATTAATTAGATAAATTGGCATCTTGTAATTAAATCATGGAAGATTGTCTTAAATTATTTTTACTGTCAACTTTTAAACTTGGTAAGTATAATAATATATCTGGATGCTTATACTAATTTGATAAGGGAGTCTAGACAGAGGTGAACAATCAAAGGCTACTTAGAAAAGAATTTTGGATCCGTCATTTATTCTGACGGCGGCCATACGTAAATGTCGGGAAAAAAGGGTGTTAGTTTCTTTTTTAACTATAATAAAAAAAACTTGGTAAAATATAGCTTAGAAACTTCTATCGAACAGAATAAGGTCCGATAAAATCACTAAAACCGGTGCACATCAGGTAGGGAGACATAATAGGCAGACAAACAGATAAAAAAGGTTGTTAGGTATTGGCACCGTGCAAACAATCACAAGAGCTCAAATGCAATTTTGTAAGCATACTTAAATAAGCACAATCTTATTTATAAGTATAAATAAATCATTCTAACAAAAGTTTTATTTTTGAATGAAGCAAATGTACAAGTTCTTCTTCATTCTCAAATATTCCTTACTAATACGAAATTACATCTTTTACCGGACTTTATGATCTTTGTTTGGTTGGAATTGTCTTCACCCCGAATAGCAGAATAACTATTAAAACATCGGAAAAATTCATGAAAAAAATTAAGAAAAAAATAATATTTAAACTTAGCAATAAAACGTACCAAGGGACGAACCTGAGCGAAGCGAGGGTGAGTCGCTAGTGTATATCTAAAACTCATTTTTTTTAAATGGTATGATTATCTTTCTAGCCTCACACGCCATCAACTGAGATTCCCAAGCCGGAGCCATCTAACGTCGAGCTGAAGTTGGGCAAATGTTTCCACATGTCCCGCGAACACTGTCCCACTGATGGACAGAAGTGCACTCGAGTGGACGCTGTCAGCGTGTTTTGTTGCGACATCGATAATAACTTCAGATTGAAGGAGGCCTTGACAATGACCAGTAAGTTTTTTTTATTTCATGTACCGTATTTTTTTTTTCTTCTGGTTTCCTAACTGTTATTTGCTAGCAAGCTATAAAAAATATATAATATATTGATAAGTGCAGAAGTTTCTTACTAATTATACCTGTTGTAATATGGTATTCAGAAAAGAAATTAATTGAATTCGCTAAGTGGTTACACGCTTGCTCGAGATATAAAGTGAAGCTGGTTCAAATCCCGGGTCTTGCACCTCTAGTAGGTATTTTCATATGCAAATAATTTTCAACATATTGTAAGAAAACCTGCATGCCTGAGAGAATCTAGCAAGTTTTCGAAAGCATGTCAGGTCAGCCCACCCTTACTTCGCTAGTGTGGTGCACTATAGCCTGATCCCTATCATATTGAAGGGAGATCCGTGCCCAGTAATGAGATTTTAAAATTTCAGAATACAATAAATTAAGTAATCATAAATTATCCCATGATCCGTTACTGTCTGACATTTCGAGGTTAAAACAAACAGTTACCAAAATTTTGGTAATATTGTTTTGGAAGTAAAGTTATTACGATTGTAATTAAATCAGCATTCGTCCACAACATAAAAATAAAAATACTTCACCTCGAGCCTGTAGTGAATGCAAATGCATCTAAAAGGTCGAGGTCATTTATTTCCATGTAAAGGAAGATTGCTACTGCTCTCTAACTTTGTGTTGAAATGGTCATCTAAGATGATATCAATAGCTATGTCTATAGCCATCAAAGCAGTGTACAATTTTAGAAGGCACCTAAAATAGATTTATCTATATAAATAAATAAAATTGAGACGTCTGTTTGTAATGTCATTATAACAGCTTTTTACTAAATGCATAATATGAAATATATACGGTAATTATAAGAAAACCACAACTCTTAAATTTTTTGTGTGTCTGTCGAGAGGTCTGAGAAGACCAATAAATACTTTCTTATTGGTCTGAGATCTATCTGTTTCTTCCGGCTAATCTCCGAAACGTGTGGGCTGATGTTGACGGGAATTTTACTGGGAGATAGCTGATGTTATAAGAAGTACCTAGGCTTTAATTTAGAAAAAGAACTAGGGTTCCGCTCAAATTAATTAAAACGTACCTAGGGACACACCCGAACGAGGTGAGGATAAGTCTGAGCAAGTATTTAATAAGAGTCGGCAGTATCGTGATATCTTTACGTGTGCTTGGTAGATTAGCAAGTTATGTATTTGTAAAAACGTTACGATAACTTAGGTCTATGCAAGGATCGAACACTATTAAAGTTACCACGCAGGATAAAACATGAAAGTATAGCATTGAGTGTTGATCGTGACTTTGCGTGCTTGAATTTTACTTTATACACACTTCCCTGTAATAAAATCCATGCCATATTAATATATTTTTTTAATAAAAAAATCCAACATATTAATTGCTAACTAATTGTCAATTTATACTCTCTGTTGTTAAACAGCCGACCGAATAAATAATGTAAAAATTTAGATGAAATACATGGGCATCGTGATCACCTTCTACAAACTTTTTTTGTATCAAAACCTCGTTAGAACCACCCTGATTTCCTAACTTTACATTTAACTACATAAAGTAGCCTATACGAATCTAAGCATCTTTTGGCAATTTGCTATGATGTTAGTGAAAGTTATGCTAAAACTGGTCTACAAAAAGAGACAAAGATAAATATACGCACACGCACAAGAAGGGTTCCGTACCATAATCGATTTTATTTATTTGCATGGGAGCCTTTTTGAAATTCGCCTTCTTGGTTTTTATGAAATACATACTCTGTGAAAATTTCAACTTTCAACAATATTACGGTTCATGAGATACAGCCCTCTGACAGACGGACGAACGGACAGCGGAGCCCTAGTAATAGGGTTCCATTGGTACCCTAAAAAATTATACATATTTTGGGCTTTAGTGACAAATTCTAAATTAAAGCAATTCACAGGATTTTACCATTTAAAAACAATAATTATGATAATTATCAATTTTGATCATTTTGTCACATATTGTTAGAAATGTTCTCATACAATTTTACGCCAGAGTAAAAACTCGGCCATAAGTAAATAAAATATGTAAAATATGTAGGTATGTAATACTAAAAAATGATATTTAAATATGAAAAAGTGGAATTTAATGATATATTATTATTTAATAAACAATAATTCCACATTTTGTAACTCACCTTGTTTTGTTATTCGAAGTTATTTTTGACGATTACTTAATTACGCAGTTTTTGTTTTGTAAAAGTGGCGCGCAAAAAGTATTTTACGGATCTCGAATATTTATATACACATCTTTGAAATTCCTTAACAATCGATTCGGTTTGGAGGCAAAAATTTACATATATTGAGTTGTTAGACCAATGAATTTAGTTCCACCATACAATATTCTATACATTGGTTACACTGTATTGTTTGTGTATTGTAGATTGTATGAAAGCTGATAGTCTGAGAGGTTTCAAGAATTTATTACTAAGAAGGTTCTTCACCTTTATCAAAATGGGTTCAAAATTGATTATTCTATCCTTAGTAGATGGTATTTTTTTTAATTTAATGATGACACTATAGAAGATCCACAGAATAATTAAAAAAAACAACATCTAATTGCCGTACTCTTTACAGATATTGTAACATATAACATAATATAGTAACATAAAAAAATGTACTTCCAAATTCAAACCTCATTCTTCGTAAAGTCGGTTAAAATGTTTCATGCTTGGTATCATTTTTCAACCGACTTCAAAAAGGATGAGGTTCTCAATTCGACTGTATGTTTTTTTTTATGTTTGTTACCTCAGAACTCCGTCATTTATTAACCGATTTGAACAATTTTTGTGTTGTTTAAAAGTGTATACTTCCAGATTGGTCCCATTTAAATTTCAAAAAAAAATACCACCCCTAAGGGTGGAAAAATAGCTAATGATGAATTTAACCTACTTCTAATTGTCATATTGACTTGAAACTTTGCAAGTGTTTCTATTTCCGTTGATAGTACAGTGGTTCGGTATTGTTGACCTGATGGTAAGGCCAGAAGGTGGATAGGTGGAACTCTTCAACGGCTAATAGTAGATACTTTGAGTTTGGGCTTGTTTTGTTTGATTTGACAAGCCTAATACGTTAGAATTCTTACTTTGTCTACACTAAAAAGGGAAAAATAAAAACTTTTTAACAAAAAAATAAAAACCGACTTCAAACAAAAGCACTAAAAAGTAAAAAATAACTGATTGATAGTTTTCATTTACTATACATACCTAATCAAATATATTCGAATTCGGTGTGCTTTGGCTAAGTAATTAAAGCCTACCTATTAAATACATACTTAATCAAATATTTTCGAAATCGGTGCCAGGCCATATAAAGCAAAGCACACCGACTTCGAATATATTTGATTAGGTATGTATAGTAAATAAAAACTATCAATCAGTTATTTTTTACTTTTTAGTGCTTTTGTTTGAAGTCGGTTTTTATTTTTTTGTTAAAAAGTTTTTATGTTATAAACTAAATAAAAGTGTAGCGTTAGACGCAAAACGTATTAGTGTGACTGATCGATGGTGGTATGTACACCAAACTTCGCGCCGTCGTAAATCACTATGGCCTGTTGACATCAATATTGTTAAATAAAACAGCAAGATAGTTATGTTAGAGAACGTCTAGTTCACGAGTAATTAGGTATATAAATAGATTTATCGAATTATAAAGTTGCAATTTTGGTAGTTTTAAATTTTGGTTTTAAAAAATTGATAAAGTGAACTGTGAAGTACCTGCTTTACGTAAAGCTACCTAAAAATGATTTTTGAATATAATGTTTAAAAATCAATCATATCTACAATTGTAAGTGTTTGGAGGCGATAATTTCCAAGGTGGTTATGTTCTAGAAAATTATTTGAACCTTTTTTCGAATTATGTTGTAAAAACGTATATTATATGTATGTAATAATGTCCATTAAAAGAAATGAAATGGAATATGCGTGTGATTTAAATAAAGGTATTTTTTATAATCTTTAATGCTTTTGAATTAAAGCCTATAATAATATTTTTAATGTAATTTCTTTTTGATTAAGAATATAATTATTAAATTGTGAAAATATAGGTGGGAAATTCAAAGTATTACGAGTATGATATCAGAGCGATCAGCGGTTTTGTCGCTTAGTTTTTTTAAGCTGGATATTTTTTTACTATTATACTCGTATATTAACAATGTTAGCTATTGTATAAAAATTTAAAAATAAATCACGCATATTCCCTCTTCCTGACTCTGTGCAATAGAGTTGTATAGTAATAAAATAATATACTAAGATAATTTGCTTCTGGTATATAAAAATATTTTTGAACATAACATTTTCGTAAACGTATGAAGAATCAACATTCATTCTTATTTGCTTTTTATCTCCTAAACATAAATATTTCATGAATTTATATTAATGTTTTTACAAGACGCATACAAGTATGAATCATTGTTATTGAGAGGAAATTTTTTGATAATGAATTAATTTTTCTCCTGTTTAAATAGATTTGATGCTTGTTGTTAATTTTTAACCGAACTCTTTTTTACCCGAACCAACCAAAAAACATTATGAATCCACGAAAAAATCCGAGAAGATAGTTTTATTTAAAATATAACCTTCTTATTATGAAATCGGTAAAACGCGTCGAATGGTATGCAAAAGAGACGGTTGATTGTTGAATAAAAATGGATATGAAAGATAAATGGCGACTATCTGATCATACATTACTATGACGGCAGCTAATAGTATCCAAATGGTTTTATATGGGTTGCATACTTTAAACAATGGCATGTTTAACCTTGTTTATATACCTAGCAACATGCCCTCGTTTTATTTAGGTACTGTTTTATACGGTCATTTTTAATATTTATTACGAGTACTTGATCTTGTCACGTAGTGCTTCGTTGGCTGCAGTTCCTTAAGTTCTGAGTTCGAATCTTCGAATCTAAAATTGTTATTGGGATTTTTCTGTAAAGAAATTGTAGGTTTCAGTTTA